CAGCGGCCATGGCTCACGGGCCCAGCCGCTCTGCGGCATGTGGGATCTTCCCGAACCGGCGCGCGAAACCGTGTCCCCTGTATCGGCAGGCGGACTCTCAACCACTGCGCCACCAGGGAAGCCCAGCTAAGCAAACTTTGAAGGGAGTGACTAAAACAAGATTGGCAAATATTGACAGTTTTCCAAGTTGAGTAATGATTACATTGGGAGTCTGATTATTCTACCTACTTTAAGTGCCTGAAAATTTCCATAATAAAGTTTTCTTTTTTTTTTCTTATCATAAGTTTTAAAATTTTTATTTATTTTATTTATTTATTTTTGGCTGCATTGGGTCTCTTTTGCTGTGCATGGGCTTTCTCTAGTTGTGGTGAGCAGGGGCTACTCTTTGTTGCAGTGCGCGGGCTTCTCATTGCAGTGGCTTCTCTTGTTGCAGAGCATGGGCTCTAGGTGCACGGCTTCAGTAGTTGTGGCACACGGGCTCAGTAGTTGTGGCTCACGTGCTCTAAAGCGCGGGCTAAGTAGTTGTGGCCTATGGGCTTAGTTGCTCCGCGGCATGTGGGATCTTCCTGGACCAGGGCTTGAACACATGTCCCCTGCATTGGCAGGCGGATTCTTAACCACTGTGCCACCAGGGAAGCCCCATAATAAGGTTTTCTTAAAACCCTTATATTTTTACAGTCAGATGCCATTTTCTCCTATCAAATTATTAAATATATTTAAACATTTTACAGGGAGGGGTGAAATAAGGATCCTACTGCATTGCTGGGGAACTTCTGGAAAGCAGTTTGGCAGGATGCCCTAAGAGGCTTAAAATATTGCTAGCATTTGACCCAGTGATTCCCTTTGTAGAAATCATACTGAAAAAATCATTGTGAATATCAAAAACTCTTTACAAAGATGTTCACTTCAGGTTATCTTAGACTTTGAATTTTGCAAGTAACCCAAATGTGCACCACTAGACGAATGGTTAATTGAATCATGGTACACCACATCATGAAGTATTTTGCAACCATCATAAAGGAAACTTTTACAGTGTTTAAATACAACTGGAAGATGCCTGTTACAACATTAATTGAAAACAGGACAAAACTATACTTGCATCTATGTAAACAGTATACATCCATGGGGAAAATGTGTGTAGACAAAAAAAAAACTGGAAGCAAATACAACAAATACCTCCATTGGTTCTGACTGGGTGATAGACCTACTGTGAATGAAGTCTTTCTCTGTGTTTATTTTCCAGATTTTTCTATCATAGACATAGTTTTGTCCAGTGCATCTTGTAATAGTTTTATAAAGGTATAACCAACAAACCATAAAATTCACCCACATTAAGAGTACAGTCTGATATATATGTGTAAGTATATATAGCTGTACAACCACCATTACAATCACGTTTTAGAACCTGTGACTCTGTGAAGTATCTCACAAATATTTCTTGAGTAGACTTCATTTTTAGAGCAGTTTTAGATTTACAGAACAATTGAGAAGATAGTACAGAGAGTTCCTACATACCCTGTACGTAGTTTCCCCTGTTATTAAAATCTTCTATTACTGTGGTACATTTGTTAAAATTAATGACCCAATACTGATACGTTATTATTAACTAAAGTCCATACTCATTCAGATTTCCCTAGTTTTTACTTAATGTCCTTTTTCTGTTCCAGGATTCAATCCAGGGTATTACATTACATTTACTTGACATATCTATAAATTAATTTTTAATTGGAAAAAAGTAAAATGAACCTAATTTTTCAAATCCTCCAAATATTTAACCATTTTTCTCCTGGTCTTCTTGTTTTTGTTGACTTGTTGCTTGTTGACAAAGACCATGTCTTATATTAATTATATTCCTTGTAGTTTCCAACATGGTACCCTGCAAATTTACTAAATAATATTCTGCTAATTTAGTCACTGTCCTTCAATAACTGGATGGAGCAGAAGAGAGGGAGAAAAGGAAGAGAACGAAGGAAAAGGAAAAAAGAAAGACCTTACTTTACAAATAAGTTGAAACCTCAGAGCTCTGAGGGACCTTTGGTTTCTGCTGTGATTTTATGTAATGGAATTCTCTTGACCTTTGTGTTTCCCAGGCTGGAAATTGCAACCCTGAATCGGGCAGACTCAGATCTGGAAGCTTGTCGAACCCAAATCAGCAAAGATATCATTGCTCTTCTACTGAAAAATCTGACCAGCAGTGGCCATCTCTCCCCTCAGGTAGAGAGGAGGATGGGTGCTGTTTTCAAACAGCAGTTTCTGTTGCTGGAGAAAGAAATTCAAGACGAGTATGATCGGAAGATGGTGGCCTTGACAGCTGAGTGTGACCTAGAAACAAAAAAGAAGACAGAAAGCCAGTACCAGAGGGAGATGGCAGCAATGGAGGAAGCAGAAGAGGTGCTGAAACGTGTTAGTGAGAGGGTAAGGCAACTTTGAAAGGAAGGCTTTCCTTTGCCTCCCTCCTTCATCATTTATCCATCCATCCATACATACATACATCTACCTGCCCATTCATCCATCCACCCACCCATCCATCCATTCTCCCCACCTACCACCCTTCCATCTATCTGTCCATGTACTCATCCATCCATCCATTTATTCACTCACCACCCATCCATGCATCCATTCATCCAAACTCCAACCCATCCATCCATCCGCCTACCACCCTTCTATCCACCTGCCCATCTACACTTCCATCCATCCATCCAGAATTCATTTAGAAAGCATTTACTGATCACTACTGTCTAGGCAGTGAAGGTACAGAGAGCACTGAGACATGGTTCTTGCATTTGAGAAGTTCACAGTCTAATGAAGGATTCTCGCATATAACACATGTGAATTCATTCAGCCATGTTGTAATAGAGGTACGTTCACAGTGCTGTGGGGTGTCATGGGACAGGTAGAATGGCTTCATTCACAGAAAAGCATGTCCACAAGAGCACAGCTCAGGGGGGTTGTGATGTCAGTGCACACGTGTGTCCGTCTGGACTGCACCACACTAAGTTCTCTCCAGCACGGGCTCTGGCGTCAGACAAACCTGGACTCATATTCTAGTACACTCCAGCTCAGCTCCGGAAGGCCTTAACTAGCCTCTGTAAGTCTGTGAGTCAAGGCCGAGGGCGCCCCCCTCTCAGAGCAGCTGGAAGAAGTAATGCAGGAAAGGAGCCCCGGGTGTGGGCTGCAGTAGGCTCTCGTGCACAGTGCCCAGTTCTGGGATCTCTGACCTCTCGGCCTTCCCAGGGCTGGTCTCTGTTGATCGGAGATCAGCTCTCATTTTCCTAAGAGAGTGTCAGTTTCCATCTTGAAAGGAATCACGCCACAGTTTTTTCCCAGGCGCACCAAATCCAGTCTGATTTCTACCTTCCTCCATGGAAGAGATGGCTGGTTCCCTCTGGTGACTTGAGCCCACATAACCTGTTCTGAAAATTTATCAACCTAGGGAGGTCTAACATCTTAGGAACGAGCTTCTGAACTCCTAACCTCCATTCTGCAGACTGGCAGCCGTGCACAGAAATCCTCTGGGAGAGAGTAGAGAGCTCTCAGGGTGACAGCGCCCGGCTCTCAGAGGGTCGGTCACCTGTGGTCAGACTACGGGCTGGGCACTTAAGCAGAGAGGTGCGATTCACGCTGTCTCACCCCCAGCCACTCCCCTGCAGCTGGGGTCCCCTCGCCTCAACACACATCTCATTTCAGGGTGTGGCTTATTTTCTGTTTGGCTCCTGTATGGATTTCCTGTAGCTGCTGTAACAAATGACCACAGACTTCGTGGCTTAAAACAACAGAAATTTATTCTCTCACAGTTCTGGAGGCCAGAAGTCCAAAATCAAGGTATCAGCCAGGCATGGCCCTTCTGAAATCTCTTGGGGAGAATCCTTCCTTGCCTCTGCCAGCTTCTGGTGGCTACAAGCATTCCTTAGCTTGTGGCTGCATCCCTCCAATCTTTTTTTTTTTTCGGTACGCGGGCTTCTCACTGTTGTGGCCTCTCCCGTTGCGGAGCACAGGCTCCGGACGCGCAGGCTCAGCGGCCATGGCTCACGGGGCCAGCCGCTCCGCGGCATGTGGGATCTTCCCGGACCGGGGCACGAACCCGCGTCCCCTGCATCAGCAGGCGGACTCTCAACCACTGCGCCACCAGGGAAGCCCCATCCCTCCAATCTTGACCTTGGTCTTCACATGGCCCCATGACCCTGTCACCTCCACTTCTGTCTCTTTTAAGGACACTCATCTTTTGATTTAGGACCTAGCTAAATGATCCTGTATTATTATCTGCAAAGACCCTTATTCCGAATAAGGTCATGTTCATAGGTTCTGGGATTACGATGTGGACGTATCTTTTTGGAGAGGGGGCAACGTTCAGCCCACCACTGTTCCCCTGGCTGACCGTGCTCTCTGATTTCCATCCATGATTGCACAGGTCGGCACTGTGTTTCCTTGAGTCCAGCACTTTAAAAGAATGTGTTAAACACACTGTTCACTGTTTCAGCCCCAAACAGTCTCATTCTCTCTCTCTCTCTTATTTCCTCAATTTGTTATATATTTTTTTCTGATAAAAATAATACGCATTCAATGAGGGAGGCTTGGAGAGTACTCAGAAGCAGAAGTCGGCAAACTGGGACCCATGAGTCCAATCCTGCCCGGCCTGTTTTTTCTGGCCCTTGAGTTGAGAATGGTTTTTACATTTTTAAAGGATTGTAAAAAGTAAAAACAAAAAAAGAATATGTGACAGAACCCTGATGTGTCCTGCAAAGCCTAAAATATTTATCTGGCCTTTACTGAAAGTCTGCCAACTCCAGCTCCAAAGCATAAAAGGAAAAACCCAGAAAAAAATTGAAACACATTCCACCAGTCAACAGTAGACAAACATTCGTTCAGCCTGTTTGTTGAGTTCCTGCTGTGTGTCTGAGCCTGGAGACGCCACTATGCTAAGGGGACCCCATCTGTGCAAGTCATTCCATCTTAGAGTGACTTTGTCATCTATTCATTTATTGTAGTATTCTTTAAATAAAATGCATGAAAATATTTTGGCCATATTATTCCTCCAAGAGTTAGATTTTGTTTTGTTTTTTTTAAAAAAAAAGCTAAATGAGGAGGATCAGTTTTTTTGAGTAACGTTTAGAAATTCCAGTAATTAGTATAGCGATGAAATCTGTTCACATTTAAACATCTATACGATCCCGTGCAGTCTGTAAAGCGTTTCTGCATGGAGAAGCTCTTAAGGGTAGTGGCAAATACAGACTCTGAAGGCAGGTGGCTTCGGTTTAGATCTCACTTTCTTCCTCCAGAAGGTGCCTTGTTCAGGCTCCTTGGGTCTCGGTTTCCCCATCCTTAAACTGGGCGTAATAATGATGCCTGTCATATAGGACTGTCAATACTTGTATAGTCCTTAGACCGATGCTTGGCAGTGTCAGCCCTGTTCTATCCAGTTTCATTATTTAGTGTAATCTTTAAAGAAGCCCATGACATAAAACAGTCAGGATGTGAAATCCTTCCAGTTCAAGTTGGAGAAACAGAAGCCCAGAGGGGAAGTGTCTTGCCCAGCTTCCTGCAAGCAGCCACTGGCCGTTCAGCGTGTGTACTTTGTAGGGGGACCCTCTTCCAGATCCACGTGCTTCCCAGCTACTTGGAGAAGAGGCAGCAGCAGCGCATCCTGCCCTGAGCTGCCGGAGGTTTCCTAACTCCTTTGAGTGTGTCTTAAAGGAAAAGATGCCTTAAGGGCAAGAACTCTTAACACTGGAACCATCTCTGGGGGTTTTATTTCTATAAAACATTTTCACAATTTGTCCAGCTTGCTAAATTGAGTACAGGGAGTGTCATTTAGTACAGTCATAATTTCCTGATGCGGTGTCACATTTTTGATGGCCTAGAGTCAGCGCGAAGAGCAGTTGTCAGAACAGCCTGGCACAGGCCTGCGATTCTCGAGCCAGGATCGAAGTACCCTATCCTGATCCAGGCCTCCCAATCTCTCCATGCAAGTTGCTTTTTTAGGCCTTTTAAGCCGAAGGATAAACATGCCTCATTTCTCTGAGAAGTCTCTTTTAGTGGAAAGTTCAATAGGGAGTTGGGGGTGAGTGACCATTGTTTTAATGTACCTTTAAAAATGCACATGTGTTGCCAATATTTAAAATATAAAATTTTGGATAGAAAATCCAGAGTTTCAGCTTCTCTTAAAAAAAATGGAAAGATATGGCCACACCAAGTGCATAGTTCTGCAGCGCCCCCTTTGGTGGACTGAGCAGTGGCTGACCCCGTAAGCAGGGCTTGCTTTCTCTGCTTTACCCCAGTCCCCAATGCCCCAGTACAGTGCTTCCCAGGCTACCTCACATGACCTCCCCTGCTTGGCAGGCCTCCATGGTGTCCCCTGTTTTAGGATTTAGTCTTCTCATCTGTGCCACAGAAGGATTGAACTAGAGCAGGGGATGAACACATTTCTGTGGGTCTCTGGACCCCCTTAGGAGGGCAGTATACATGGAAATGGGGGGGACTCCCACCAAAAGTTATTTTAAGGAGCATTTCACTATGACACAAACACATTTCCTCATGCCTTATTCTTCAGAAATACTATTCTAAGCAAGGACAGATAATTACGTTTTAGGATTTGCACGCACGCACTCAAGCACGTGTGTATGCGTGTGTGTGTGTGCGCGTGCACGTGTGCTGTGTGCTTGCTTTTTGTCCTGGCTGTGAGGAGTTAAATGGATTTCACCCCTGTTTCATTCCTATTAATTAAAATAAATTGAGGTTTGGAGCTTGTCGAATTGCATACTGTCAAAATAGAAGGTCACTTTCATGGATGAATGGACCTACCTGGGCACCAGCTACTCCCCTGGTAGCAGAGCATCCCTGTGCTGCCCAGAACCAGGGGCCCAACACCCTCATTGTGGGTGACTTGCATTCTGTAATTTAGATCAAGTCAGCTGTGAATAACTACTTCTCTCCAGAAGAGAAGACCCCTTCAGCTTTGCCACATAATAATCTGACCATTGGAGTGACAGTCCCATCATATTCAAAGTTTATGTCCACACTCAGAGGGAGGGAATTTCTGTGACGTCTTACACTGGGGGCCAGGAATCTTGGGGGCTTCTTAGAATTCTGCCTCTGCACGTGGAATGACTAAGACACCCTCCTGCGGCATGAGTCTTTTGAGGTAATGGGAGTGCAGATGCATCAGGAACTTAGTGAAGGCGTGTCACCCCCCTGCTGCCCTCCCTCTGGACCACATAAAATGGAGGCATCCCAGGAGCCACTTCCTACCTCCCCTTTGCCTCCCTTTTAACACAAAGGTTATCAGCTTGGGCCTGATTGCTCGTATTTTTTTCTTCATCTAAGTTAAGGATGAAAGATGATGGAAATAAGCTTGAGAGCCTAACAGCACTGTCCATTGATGTTTCCATTTTGCGGGCTATTTTCAGGCAGTTTGATTTGAAAATTTCCACTCTTGTGAATTTTTTTCTTTGAGATGGTTCTGGAAAACGTTAAGATAACAGGGAGGACAGGTTACAACAGCATTTCCCAGAGTTTAGCAGCTTCCTCATGGCAAATTTGGGATTCAGTGTGTGTGTATGCCTGTGTGTATACATGTGTGTGTTCCATGTGGGTGTGCACACACATGCTTGTGTGTGCATGTGCACATGCGTGCTCTGTATTTGTATTGCTGTGTGTGCCTGTATCTTTGTGCATGTGTGTGCACTGTTTGTTGCTGTGCGCGTTTATATGCACTGTGCATGTGTATGTGTGCACATGTGTGTTGGTGGTGCATGTCTGTGTGCTGAGCGTATGTGTATGTGCCTGTGCACGTGCATGCATGTGTGTGCGTGTATGTGCATTACTGCTGTGTGCATTGATATGCACTGTGTGTATGTTGGTGGTGCATGTATGTGTCCTCTGTACACGTGTGTGCATATGCATGTGCATGTACGTGTGCCTGTATGTGCATTATTGCTGGGTGCATTTATATGCACTGTGCACATGTGTGTTGGTGCATGCATGTATGCTGTGTGTGCGTGCATGTATGTACATGTGCACGTGCATGCATGTGTGTGCTCACATGTTGTACACATGTGCCTGTGCATGCCTGACCAGTGTGTCACCTCCCACGTGCCCCGCTCTTCTCCACAGTCCGCTATCGAATGCAGCAGCCTCCTGCGGACCCTCCATGGCCTAGAACAGGAGCACCTGAGGAGGTCCCTTGCTCTGCAGCAGGAGGAAGATTTTGCCAAGGCCCACAGGCAGCTGGCCATTTTCCAGAGGAATGAACTGCACAGTATCTTTTTTACCCAGATAAAAAGTGCTATTTTCAAAGGGGAACTGAAGCCAGAGGCAGCGAAAATGCTGCTGCAAGATTACTCTAAAATACAGGTAATGCCTCAAATGAGGCTCTCTCTGATGGAGGAGTCATTTTCCTGAACTGTTTCAGTAAATTTCTCCTCTTTCTGAGCTAAGTCCTATCTCTTTTGTGCTGGGTTCCAGTGAACTAATGCTGTCTTCCTTCGACCTCTTGATGCGGCGGCTGAGTTTCCAATAAGCAGGGCAAATGGGGGCTTGAAGCACAGGCCTTAGACTCAGGCTCACCTGGACCTGCATTCCAGTTCCACTACCCATCAGCTCTGTGAATTTAAGCAAATTGCCTAACTTCTCTGAGACTCAGTTGCCTCACCTGTAAAATGAGGGTAATAGAGTCCCCACACTAAAAGGGGCATGATGGAGATTTCATGATCTAATTCATGGAAAGCCAGTGCTTGGCACAATATATGGTTAATATATATAGTGGTTAAAAATATAAATATATATGTGCATACACGTATGTATGGCAACGTATGCCTAGGGTTTATGTTCTCTGTCTCGATATTCTTGGGTGAATTTGTGGGTGTCTTTGCATGTAAGCTTGAGTGTGAGTGTCATTAACCCAGACTGAATAAATTCCTAGATGACTGTGAAAATAGTTTATGAGACTGTCACTATTTTTATGAGGCCTGCCTGAGGCATTTTACCTGTGCCTGTACACACAGTGCATCACTGGTGTGCTATAAAGCACCAGATTTCTGGTCCTGGCACAGGCCTCGTGAGTGAGAGCTGCAACAGATCAGGGCTGTCCCACGAGGAGACCAGGCGGCTCTCGTGAGCCTTTTGGAAAGAGAGGACCACTGTCAGAAAGCACTGGGCATCTTGGCGTGAAGAGAGCCGGCCAGCCTCTCCGTTTTGCTCTTGGTTTTTCCCAGTAAAACTTTAGGAGAGTAAATAAAGTCCTGGGTAGGTATTCAGACCCCACAGCATCACTTAGGGATTAACAGATTTTGCTGTCGTTTTGCCCGCTCCTCGTGATAAGCTGTGGCTGACTCTCCATGTTGGAAAGAACACGTGTTATTGTTAATAATACTGGGGACAAAAAAGTAACAGCCCTGGTGACAGTCCCAAGGCACAGACAGATTAGGATTTGAGGATCCCGACTGAGCTTCCCGACGGCAAGGGCTCAGGTCAGCTGACTCACGTGATCCAGCTCCGTAGAGGGTAGAAACGTCACCACAGTGTTCCTGCTGTATTGATTCTGCTGCCAGGAGCTCTCAGAGAGAGCATTCTGCTTTTCACTGTCAGGAGAGTGCAAATCCTCAGGTGTTGGACCTGGAGAGGTTATAGCTTTTGTGTGGAAAGAAAAACATCATACGTTTCTTATTGAACAAAATGTTGAACTTTCGGGTAAGCCGCTGCATGGACAGTATTTCCCCAGATGGAAAAAAGACAGCAGAGCCAGTCAGTGGGATAATACACTGAGGCTGGTGTTTTAATTACCGTGGGTTTAATTACTGCTGGTCTAATTATTATGCTACTGGTTGAAGCTGGATTTGGGAGACAGCCTATTATGAAGTTAAAACACAGGCCCTGGAATTAGATGGCTGAGTTCAAATCCCTGCTCAGTCATTTACCAGCTGTGTGATATGGACTCAGTTTCCTCATCTGTGAAATGGGAATAATAGTATCCTGTCCCTAAATTAAGTTACAAAAGACGAGAAATGCTCTGGGTCCAATGCCAGGCCCAGCAAAAACACCCAGTATATGCAAGGCTATTATTACTCTCTTGTGTTGCTTGGGTTCTTATGCATTTTGTACATTATAAGAACTTTGTGCTACTCCGTGACCAGGCTCATCTCATGTCTTCCATGAGAGTGGGAGTTCTGGGGTCAGAGCCGGTGGCTAATTTATCCCAGAACTTCAGCACCTGTCCTGGTGCTGTGTTTGGGGAGCGCCACAGGTGTGACTGTGCGCTTGGGTGAAGGATGCCTGAGAGAAATTTATATTCCATTTCTAGGGAAGCAAAGTTAGTTGTTTTGATAACTCTTTACCATCTGGGTCTCAAATGCACTTTTCAAAGCCCTCATTTCTTCTGAGCCTTTGTTCGAGGCAGGGACGTTTAAGGTGTTAATCCCAGGGCTTCTATCGCCGTGTATTTTCTTCAAAAAGGAAATGTAATATTTTAACTGACTAGAAAGAATTTTCTTTAAATTTTATTTAGGCATACTTTCTTGATTTTTTTTTTTAAACAGGACAATGTAGAAGAACTAATGGACTTTTTCCAGGCTAGTAAGAGATACCATCTCAGTAAAAGATTTGGCCACAGGGAGTATCTGGTCCAGAACATACAGTCATCAGAGACCCGTGTGCAGGGCCTGCTTAGCACTGCTTCTGCTCAGCTGACCCTCCTTATCCAGAAACACGAGAGGTAAAACCCCCAAACCACCCAAAATGTTGCAGACAAACAGCCTTGCCCCAACGTTCCTCATCAAAGACCATCTACTTCTGTTCATTCAGCGCATGCACTGGCTGCTCCTGACTTATTTCTTAAGAATTCTCTAGTTGGAAGAATCCTTTGCATTACAGAATTTTTAAAACATACCCAATAGTCGAGACAACCATACAGTGAGCTGACGTGTGCCCGTCATCAGCTTCAGTAGGTACCAACTTGTGGGCAATCTTGATGTAGCTATACATCCCTGCCCTGAGTTATCTTAAAGCAAATCCCCAACATTTCATAGAGAAATCAATGGTGGAGGCTTTCATGAACTGTGTGATGGGATAGCCCACTTCTCCTTGAGCTCTAGGACACCGCTGGCTCTTGCATTCACCTTTGTTTTTCTTTTTTTTCGGGGGGCGAGTTTGTTTTTATTTTTGTATTTTTTTAATTGAAGTATAGTTGACTTAGTTTCAGGTGTACAGCACAGTGATTCAGTTATACATACATATATATATCTATTCTTTATCACATTCTTTTCCCTTATAAGTTATTACAAAATATTCAGTATAGTTCCCTGTGCTATACAGTAGGTCCTGGTTGGTTATCTATTTTATATATAGTAGTGTGTATCTGCTAATCCCAAATTCCTAATTTATCCCTCCATGCCTTTCCCCTTTGGCAACCGTAAGTTTGTTTTCTACGTCTGTGAGTCTGTTTTGTAAATAAGTTCATTTGTATCATATTTTAGCTTCCACATATAAGTGACATCATATGGTATTTGTCTTTCTCTGTCTGACTTACTTCACTTAGTATGATAATCTCTAGGTCCATCCATGTTGCTGCAAATGGCATTATTTCATTCTTTTTTATGGCTGAGTAATATTCCATTATATATATATATATATATATATATATATATATATATATATATATGCCACATCTTCTTCATTCATTCATCTGTCAATGGACATTTAGGTTGCCTCCATGTCTTGGCCTTTGGAATTAAGTATAAATACACAGATGCTTATCTTGCACTCTGAGTATTTTTTCTCAGCAGCACTGGGGTACCATGCAGCCAGGTAAATGGTGCTGTTCACTGCAGCCTCTAGCCCTTCGGCAGCGTTCCTTCTCAGCTAGTCTATGAGACGCATAATTGTCAACAATGAAATTTATTCTTTGTAGGTTACAAGCTTTAAAATGAGTAGGGCCATGATGATAAGGCTGGCTTTCTTAGGACAAGCCGTGCTTTTATGAATTGGTTCTACTACCTGAGTAATTGTGCTAGGACTTGGCAGCTCTCTTGCCCTCTTTATTTATTTTTATTTTTTATTTTTATTTTTTTGCGGTACGCGGGCCTCTCACTGCTGTGGCCTCTCCCGTTGCGGAGCACAGGCTCCGGATGCGCAGGCTCAGCGGCCGTGGCTCACGGGCCCAGCCGCTCCGCGGCATGTGGGACCCTCCCGGACCAGGGCACGAACCCGTGTCCCCTGCATCGGCAGGCGGACTCTCAACCACTGAGCCACCAGGGAAGCCCTCTCTTGTCCTCTTTAATGAGGATTCAGTAAGGTGCAAGTTATGTGAACACTCCCCACCCAAAGATGCTAATGAATTTGTCACTGCAGTTAACTTGACATTCCTGATTCATTTTCACTCGAGTGAAAGAAACAGCTCCTTGCCTTGAATGGAAGCACCCAACAGCTGGGTATACCATGGGCAGCGGTTACCAGGGAAGTGTTCTGTACCTCTGATTTTTAAATCCTATTTTAATAGGTTGGCACAGACTTATATTTCTGAAATGCATATCTACCATTTGCTCAGTCACCTATTCATTCCTTCAGGAAGCTTCCATGGGGAATCTACGGTATGCCAAGCAGGGGGCCCAGCCCAAGGATGCAGACAGACTGGGAATGGTAGCGGTGATAGTGGCAGCAACAGAAAAACAGAACCAGTAAGATATGTTTGAGGAATTGTGTCGTGTGACTGTGGAGGCTGAGAAGACCCAAAATCTGCCGTCTGCAAGCTGGAGGCCCAGGAAAGCCAGTGGTGTAATTCAGTCCAGAGGCCTGAGAACCAGGGGAATCCCAGCCCTAGAGCAGGAGAGGATGAGATTAAATGTCCCAGCTCAACAGTGAGGCAGGAAAAAAAAGTGAAGTCCTTACTCCTCCACCTTTTATTCTGTTCAGGCCCTCAGTGGACTGGGTGCCCACCCACATTGGGGAGGGTCATCTGCTTTACTGAGCCCACCCATTCAAATGTTAGTCTCACCTGGAAACCCCTGCACAGACACACTCAGAAGTGATCTTTAGTCTGGGCACCCTGGCCAGTCAAGTTGATAAACAGAATTAACCCTCACAGCGTGTTTTCCCTGCATTTTACCTCTTGGACTTTACTTGTGCCATTCCTGTCACTAGGACTTCCTAATCTACCATCTCCTCTTGGAAGATTCTATCTGTTCCACAGTGGTCCCCTTGAATGTTGCTGCCTCCAAGAACTCTTGCCCAATTGTAATTTCTCTCAGGATGTGAGCTTTCTCTGCACATCTCTGAAAAAGCTGACCTTACCCTTCCTGCATTTTCGTAACGTCTTAGCTGCCTGTTCTCCTGCTCCTTCTGATGGTAGAGATTTCTCTGATTCAAATCGAATATGGAGATAAACATTCAGCCACAGCACAGCCAAGCTGTAGGTGAGTTTGGATAGTGTGTTAACTAACCCTGCATCTTTTTCATCTAGAGCAGGCTACTTGGATGAAGATCAGATGCGGGTGCTCTTGGAGCGGGCTCAGACAGAAGTCTTTTCTATAAAACAGAAGTTGGACAATGACTTAAAGCAGGAAAAGAAAAAACTCCACCAAAAATTAATAATTAAGAGAAGACGAGAGATGCTGCAAAAGGTATATAAGGAATTATGCTCTTGATTCTTTACATAACCATTGTGAACACCCACCAAGTGCCGGGTTCCATGCCAGGCACTGCCATCAGAGGGCTAGGATCCGAAGGGCAGCTGGGCAGGCATCCTGATGTGCCATCTGCAGTTGATTAGTAGTGACTTTTTGGAATGCTGTGTCAAGATCTCTACAGGTCCTAGCAAAGCTGAGGGTTGCGGTAGGTTAGTAATGTCTGCCAGGGCAAGGGAGTAGGAGTGCTGGTTCCAGTGAATAATGACTGATGGGTGCTACAACATTTATGGAGTGTTTAATTGGCACTGTGCTAAGTGTATTATGTATTTTATTTAATCCTTACATTAACCCTATGAGGTAGATGCTACTGTTTTCTGTTTTTGTTTTTTTTTTGTGGTACGCAGGCCTCTCACTGTTGTGGCCTCTCCCGTTGCGGAGCACAGGCTCCGGACGCGCAGGCTCAGTGGCCATGGCTCACGGGCCTAGCCGCTCTGCGGCATGTGGGATCTTCCCGGACCGGGGCACGAACCCGTGTCCCCAGCATTAGCAGGCAGACTCCCAACCACTGTGCCACCAGGGAAGCCTGGGTCTCCTTCTTTATTTTTTAACTTTTTTAAATTAGTAGTAGCATATTATTACTATAATTACTCTTGGTGGTGATTAGCCTTTGTTGTTTGGTTTTTTTTTCCATTATGTTTTACTACAGGATATTGAATATAGTTCCCCGTGCTGTACAATAGGACCTTGTTGTTTATCCATTTGGGTCTCCTTCTTTAAAAGGCCTTCTGTGACCTCCTCATTTAAATTGTCTCTCATGGATCTCAGGGGGGTTTTCTCTTAGGATATCTCCATTTTCAGTTCCTATGTGCCTGGGACTTGGTAATAATAATAGCAGACATTCATTGATGCCAATTCTGCACCAGGCCCTCCTCTAAGAGTTACACATGTCTTCAGCAACTCATTGCATCCTCACAACTACTCTGTGAAGTAGATCCTATTATTATCCCCATTTTACAGATTAGGCAGTAGAGGCCCAGACAGGGCCAGACACTCGTTTTGGGTGGCTCAGCTTGTAAGTGGAGAAGCCAGGATAGGAGCCCAGGTGGTCTGCCTCTTGGGTGTTACCTACTCAATAGATACGTGTTCAATAAATGTTGAACAAATGAAGTTTTCACTACATTTTGGCTTATTTTCTAAAGAATAATTTTGTTTTTTTGGGAGGGGGGAACGACGATCAACTTTATTGATTCATTTAAAAACGATGCAACCTCAAACAAAGGAGGTACTGCTAAAAGCTCAGTTGGGTGAGGCAGATTAAGCCTTTTGCTTAAATCTTCACCCTAAATCTTTGAATTATGAAATTTGCCACCCCTTGCCTCTGGAATACTGTGATTAACATAGACAGAGGCAGATTTTGTCTAGTCCAGAAGAAGAGAGCAAGATAGAGAGAATATTATATCTGAGTGAAGGAAGAGAAAAAAAGATGTCCTGGATCCTTCTTTGAAACAAATGAGTAAAAGGTGGTCACATTTTGCTAAAGATCAACCAGGTTACACACTCTTCTCCTTTGGGGAGGATGTGTTCAGAAGGTGAAAACCTTAATAGAAATTTCCTCTCTTGTTGTCTAAGACTTGACTATGGGGAGAAATCAAGAGTCCTTCCAGTTCTGAACACGCTCTTGCAGTATTTCTGTCCTATTAGCCTATTTGCATAAAAATCTTAGTAGGTTTTAGAAGAGCAAAGCATTTATTCAAAGTTTCCATTTCGTGGCTCAATTCTCCTCTGCTGCTACTTTGGCAATCTCCATTGGTCTTTCTATTATGTTACTTTTTTTGTTTTCAAGAATAATTTGCTGAATATGAGGTGATTGGGGAAAGAGATGTTGACATTCGGTGCTTCCTGCAACCGGAGTGTTTTCCCCAAGAGCTGTACAACCGAGTCCCACCCCCTGTTAATTGTCTGTTCTGGAACTCCTGCCAGCACAAGGAGCAGCGGAGGGAGCGGCTGTCCATCGCTGAAGCCTTCGGGGCGGCTGAGGATGCTCGCCAGTACATGGGCCAGTGGCGGAGCCTGGTGGCCGAGCACAGCGCCACCCTGGAGGAGCTGCAGGAGCGCCTGGACCAGGCTGCCCTGGACGAGCTCAGGGCCCTGACCCTCTCACTGTCTGAGAAAGCCACAGAGCAGCTGCGGCGGCTGCAGAACTCGGTGATGACCCAGGAGCTGCTCAAGCGCGGGGTCCCCTGGCTCTTCCTGCAGCAGATCCTGGAGGAGCACAGCAGGGACCTGGCCGCCCGGGCCGAGCGGCTCGAGGGCGAGGAGAGGGACAGAGGCCAGGAGGGCATTCAGAGCGTGAGGCAGAGACTGAAGGACGATGCTCTGGAGGCCTCCACGGAGGAGCAGGCGGAGCTGAGACACTGGGAGCACTTGATCTTCACGTGAGTTTTAATCCCTGTGTGTTTTCATCACCTCCTCTCCTCCCACTAGTGGGGGAGGGATTCCACCGCCTGGTTACAGGGATGGCCAGACACGTGCCATCTGACACTGGACAGCAGTGTATTAGTTACTTATACCCACAGCCCAGGGAAGATGTGCAGTGCATGTCCCCCCAGGGCCACTCAGGGGTTGCAGAGCAAACAACCAGGGCTCGTGGGAGGCAGGCTTTGTATTTGGGTTGGCCAAAAAGTTCGGGTTTTTCATGTGAGCAGGGAAACAAACAAATTTTTTGGCCAACGCAAGAGCAACAGGAGGGTGAGGTGCCCCCTGGTTCCCGTGGGAGGATGTGATGGGCTTGTTTGGACAATTACAGGCTGGCAGGGAACTGAAACCCACTGCTCGTGAGTAAGCAGGAATTGCACCTGGTCCCCTTGATGAGAAGTGTTGTGTGAAGAGGGGAGCTTGTCCACAGGAGCAGGGTGGGGAGGGGAACTTATAGTTAAGCCACATGAGGTCCTCCCTGTGTCAGCAGATGTCAGGGAGCACATGGTAGTGGGCCTTCATTCCAGGCCTTACGGCCCACTGCACCATCTCTTTATGGGTCCCCTTCATTCATTGAATTCAAGAACCATGGAATGACATCCACTTCTGACTAGGATGCTGTAAGCCATTGCCCGCCAGCAATCCTGGTGTAATAATTATAAAATAATGGATGATTTGCACCACTCATGTTTTCAAAGCCACTGGAGAGCTATGGAAGCAATGAGGACAAGTTAAAATCAGATTCCAGAGGGGCCACTGTTGACAGTCCTTCACTGCCCTGCAGCATTCGCCAGCTCTTTGTGCAGACTGAGATTTGACGTGGCCCAAAAGGGGCCATCAGCTGTGTGACAGACACCAGCAAAGCTTTGGCAACTGTCTAGGGCTGGCACGTCAGATTGGAAACTGGAGGAGCCTTGAACACGGCCCACATGGGGCTACAGAGAGGAATGAAAGGTGGGCAGTGTAGACCAAAAACCTGGGTTTAAATCCCAGCACTGCCACCAACTGTCTGAGTGTAGGCAAGTTACTTAACTTCTCTGAGCCTCATCTTTCTTGCCTGTAGAATGGGATGACAATGATAAATCATTTACGGTGCTTTCAGCAGCACATGATACTACTGGGTTGTTAGAAGGTGAAGAAAGCATTTTATAAGAAGTCGGGGGGTAAATTTTCTAGTTTTGATTCCATGACCCGATGATACTATCAAGGATCCAGCCCTCAACATCCTTCTGCTCCACTATACTCAGTGTGCTGCTTTGGTCTTTGGGCTCAGCCCCACATGGTTTCAGGATGGCTGCTGCAGCTCCAGGTGTCACATACATCATCTCTTTTTTTTTTTTGCGGTACACGGGCCTCTCACTGTTGTGGCCTCTCCCATTGCAGAGCACAGGCTCCGGACGCGCAGGCTCAGCGGCCATGGCTCACGGGCCCAGCCGCTCCGCGGCATGTGGGATCCTCCCGGACCGGGGCACGAACCCGCGTCCCCTGCATCGGCAGGCGGACTCTCAACCACCGCGCCACCAGGGAAGCCCTATGTCAGTCTTTTAACACAACCCTTGGTCTGCAATAAGTGGATGATAAGAGGTAGCTGCTATCATCACCACCATCATTCCTGTGCTGGAAGAACTCAGATTATCAGGAGGAAAACAGACACATGAATAGATGATTGTGATACACAGAGCAGGAGTAATTAACCAGGTACCAAGCTCTGAAGAAGGTACATGTTGGGCGCCGGCCACTGACCTGGTACTGGGAGCCGGAGACAAGGGGACACTGCCCACTGTTGCCTTGCTGAGGCGGGGCAAGACCAGGCGGTGGAACAGCTGGGTGGGTCCTTGTCTGGGTGTGAAGAGGGGAGACCAGTCTCACCACATGAAAGACAGAATCAAACCCCCCAGCAACAGCAGCGCAGTGAAGATAGACAGTAACCGCCACCTTCCCAGTCTGTTTATTTAAAGTAGTGTAGACTGTTTACACATAAGGGCGTAACGGTGCCCGTTTGGCTATAACATAGCGCTCTTTTCCTTTTAACCAACGGACCCACCCATCAATGTTCCTTAAAGGAACCAACCAACCCAGAAAACACTATTGAAGCGAATAAACAAAACCAAAGCCCGTTGACTATTCTTTCCTCGGTATGGCCACTCCACAGTTCAGTTTGGATCTTAGCCACAATTTCAATTCTGAATTGAATTGAAGCCCTTTTGATTAGAAAAGGTTGCATCAACATAGGATTGTGGATTGTGGAGGGGGTGTTGGGGGTGGGCGTTGGGGGAGGGGAGGGGAAGGCGCCCTTCTCAGTCTGTCTGCTCGGTCCCTCTGTCCCCCTCCTCTACTGATCCTGCATGCTGTTCGCTGGACGTCGGTGGTCCTCCCCATCTGCACCGAAGCCTGAGCTCTCCTTGAACCCTTTCAGGGATACCAAATAGCAGAGCATCGTTCTGCAGTGCCCATCCTTCCTCGGTGGCAGTGACATCCCATGGAACAAGGTCTTCCTGGCCTCAAGGATGCAGTGCCTCCTCCTTAAGTGCTCATTCCCAGGGACTGACCTTGCTGCCAGGGAGGAGAGGTCCCAGGTGTTCGCAGAGGGTGAGATTGTCTTGGTTTAGATGAAGTGACCTCTCCCCTCCTTCTCATCTCTCTTTCTTTATGGTTCTGTCCTTGTTTAGTTCGCCATCTGTGTTCGTTTTTGTTTTCTTGAACAAACGAGATGCTGTCTTCTCCAAGCCCATACAAGTCAGATGCTTCAATGCCACTTCTTATTCCCACAAATTGTTCTCAGCAGTGATTATTCAGCCCAATCTACATTCGACCAAAGTCTCTTTGCTCCATCCAGCCTGCTTTGGGCTCTTCAAAGTGTGTGGATTGGACGTGACATTCCCATTATTGGATGGTCATCTTCTTTGATTCATGTGGTTCCATTTTGCAGGGAGTATTATTAAAGCGGCCGCCGATTGAGTCGTTCAACAGGAAAAGAGAGATCTCACTTTGGTATCAGAAAACTCTTTATGATTTTCCTGAGGGTTAAAGGGGGTCAACTAACAATACACACAATCTGAGTCTGCTTATATACTTTGCTTATTTAAGACCCTAAAAGGTTGTAGCCTTTATTTCTGAGGCATTAAGTAGAAATGGCTTTGCACAATAGTTTTGAAACATATTTTTATAAGCTTCTCAATTTCAAGCAAGAGAGAGTTGCTGTAAACCTGGTCCTATAAAATAAGAATTAATAAGGATGCCTATTTTGCCAGGGAAAGTGTCTTTGAGAGCTTTTTGCTAAACTCCTGCCTGGATTTTAAATTCCTTCAGGGCAAAGACCCTATCTCCTATATTTCTACCTACCTAGTGGAGGATTAAAGCCAGACGACCCTGGGCCAATCTGGTTTGAAGATGGGCAAGAATAAAAACTCAGATTCATTTCAGAGTTGCTCTCACCTTGGGGTCCACGTAAGCAGCAAACACGTGGGGCAAAGATTCTCCACGAGGGAAGGTACAAAGGAACAGCTGCAGTTTCCTAAAGTACTTCAGAAAAATTGATGAGTCCCAGGGAACCCAAGACATGGGCTTGGGGCCTTCAGACCGCTTCTGTTCGGGGGCCCAAGTCAGCCCTTTCGGTCTTATTCTGCTTCCATGAGAGAACTTTCTAGGTGAGCTGAAGTCCCACAGGCCCACATGAAGATTTTTTGAGTGATCAATGAACAGACACACGTTGCCCAAAGCAGGACAGAAGAGATGGCCTCCCCCCAGATGCTGTCTCCTGGGTCAGGGAGGACGTTCTGTCCAGAAGTCCCAGCAGACCTCCTCTTCCATCTCGTTGGCCAGACTGGATCCCTAGAGGTGGGAAAGAGAGCCTGTGGCCGTTCTCCCCTGTAGAGTGGCTGTAGGCCTTGCCTGGGAGGAAGAGGGGGACATTCCTTAATTTCCTCATTTGTGGGCTTCCCTGGTGGCGCAGTGGTTGAGAGTCCGCCTGCCGATGCAGGGCACACGGGTTCGTGCCCCGGTCCGGGAAGATCCCACATGCCGCGGAGCGGCTGGGCCCGTGAGCCATGGTCGCTGAGCCTGCGCGTCCGGAGCCTGTGCTCCGCAACGGGAGCGGCCACAACAGTGAGAGGCCCGCGTACCGCAAAAAAAAAAAAAAATTTCCTCATTTGTAAATTGAGGATTGAGTTGCCAAAGGATCGGTGAGGATGCAGGTAGATGTTTCCTGGGGCTGGCATAATAAAGCACCACAGACCAGGGGCTTTAAAACAACAAAAATGTATTGGCTCCCAGTTCTGGAGGCCAGAAGTCCAAATCCAGGTGTTGGCAGGGTCGTGCTCTGTCTGAAGGTTCCAGGGGAGAATCTGATCCCCGCCTTTCTCTTAGCTTCTGCTGTTGCTACAATCCTCAGCACTTGTTGGCTCGTAGACCCATCATCGCATGGCCTTCTTGTGTGTGTGTCTTCTCTTCTTTGAAGGACACCAGTCATATTGGATTAAGGGTCCACCCTATTGCAACATGACCCCATCTTAACTTACTTCTAAACTGCCTCTGCAAAGACCCTATTTCCAAATATGATCACATTCAGAGGTACCAGGGGTTGGGACTTGAACATATCTTTTGGGAGGACACAGTCAGCCCCTAACGGTAAATCACTCTGCATGGTTTCCAGCATGGAATAGGTTTTCCCTAAATGAGAGCTGTCGCTCATCATCCTAGAAAGACCCAGCATAAGGCCCCCCCTTCCCCATGACCTGCCGAGTTGGGCATCTCTCCTCTGGGCTGCTGGTCCCTACTTACAGTCTGCTGCTGGCCAGGCTTGGTGGACAGTTCTTTGTCTTCATGTCTGTTCTAAACAGAGACAGGTTCTCTTCAAGGTCGTGAGTGCCGGGACACCTGTTGCCTGCTCACAGGCTTGTCTCATTCAACTCTGAATTCCTAGCCCCGATATGATGTTGTGTCCATCATGACACACATTAGATGCTCAAGAAATCCTTGTGGAATGAATGCCCGATTAAGGAGATGGCGTTTTTTTTCCAGACGTGGATTTGACTAGTGGAGTTTGAGCTTTGAATTTACACTTTCCCCCCAGCACAACCCGCACTGTCTTCTCTCCACTAAAACATATCACTGTTCTTGCTTTTCCAGAAAGCTCTGGTCCTCTGCCTTCTCCCTGTCCGAAGAGGAGCTGCTCGGGATGAGGCAGGAAGTTCACGGCTGCTTCGCTCAGATGGACAGGAGCTTGGCCCTTCCCAAAATCCGGGCCCGAGTCCTGCTGCAGCAATTTCAAACCGCATGGCGAGAAGCAGAGTTCCTGAAATTGGACCAGGCGCTGGCCGCCCCTGAGCTTCAGGTAGGATGGGCATCTCGGGGCCTCGTGGGTACAGAAGCGGGGCCTCCTCCGGCGGTTGATACTGTAGGATCTCGCTCCGCCACCCACCCTCAGCTCATCTCCCACCCTCTCCTCTCTGGCCCTGTTGGCATCAGCTGTTCCTGGAAGCACCTTAAGTTCTGTAGTGGACACACTGGTACCTGGACTTTGCACTGTCCACCAGTGGCCCTGAGTCTCTGCCACTCACGGCTCACAGCTGCGCCCCTGTCCTGAGCATTCCCCTCAGTGATGGGAGCCACCTGCCCTGAAAGGTGACTCTTCCTCCTGCCCCCTCCCTTGGCCACAGCCAGTGACGCACTCAGAGTACTTCTGTAAGTGGCACAAGGAGGATGCTCAGCTCAGGTGGAAAAGGGCATCTCTCACCCTGGGCCTCGGAGGGTGATGATTGACAGATGCCTGTGGTGAGCACGTGTTATGGGCCACAGACGAGGCAACTCTTGGGTGCAGGGTTTACTCTGGAGCCCCTTATGGACCAGTCAAGGCCAGACCCTACCTGAGACCTCCACCGTGCGTGGCCCTTTCCCCCTCCTGTCCTGGTTCCCTCACCCCCTACGCCTTGCTCAGAGGTCCTCTCTCCGGAAACTGCGTGCACCCCAGTCCCTGTCTCTGGCTCTGCCTCTGGGGAATCCCACCGGAGACAAGGCCTTTGAATTTGCTGTTTCCTTTGCCAAGAATATCACAGGGCCAGCTCTTTATGGTCTCTTCACATCTCAGTTCAAATGTGTCACCTGCACAGTGGTCTTCCCTGACCACTATCCAAGATCACCACTTTCCCAGCCATCCTTTATCCCATGCTGCGTTCCCACGTCTTCAGAGAATTGATTGCTATCTGCAATGTCCTGGTTTCTCGACTTAACTCACGGGCTGTGCTCCCACTGCCAACAAGCTCCCTGTTTGTAGTTCCCGTCCACCACTCCATCCCAGCACCTAGAAGGTGCCTGGTGCATAATAGGTGTGCAATAAACTTTATTGACTGAACCAACCAACCACCGGATGTGGGCGGAATGCGGGGGCTTCCCTTGAGTTGATATTATGTTGAGATTGAAAACATTTCGAATCACTTATACTTCCAGTAGCTCATCTGTGGTTCACAGCAGGGCCAGGAGGTAGATGTTTTGTCCCCATTCTACAGATGAAAGCACCAACCAGCAGAGGAAAAGTGATTGACCGACGTAGGAGGAAGTAGAAGGACTCATCTTGGAGCTGGTGCTTTCTGACTTTAAACCTACTGCTTCTCCTTGAGGAGAAAACAAAATTCAGGCACATCCTTGGTGCTCTCTGCCCAGCTATAAGTTCTACCATGATCTCAAGACCCCCTGTGGTCTGACCCCTGATCAGTCATGTGCTGGTAAACTGACTCTCATTGGGGGTTCAGAGTTCCTGACTTGTAGCATTTGCCTATTTCCCTGGTGTAAATACTCCTTCCAAGGCCAATTTCAGGCTACTGACTTGACATCACCGTGCATGGGGCTGGGAGGGATGCACACGATCTGCCCCACCCCCGCCCCACTCTGGCTTCCCCCGCTTCCAGTGCCAGTCCTTGCTCTGGGCTTCAGGGTCTTACCCACCAGCCTAGCTCTGTTCCTAAGAGGGGTTGACCCCCAATTTCCTCTTTTTGGTATTATCACCATTAGATTAGGAGATAAAAACTATAGTTCACTCATGGGATAAGCTGAGCCCAGCCCGAGTTTTTAAAGACATTGGGTGCAGGAGTCAGGAAGCTCACCGTCTAGTTCTTAGGGCTCCCATGATGTGGCTGAAGCCACCGATTCTGTTCTGGCCTCAGTCTCCTCCTCTGTCAAATGGGGGTCTCTGAACTCAGTGAATTGCTGTGTACGTGCTCGCTTCCTCTGAGTGCGCTGAGGCAGGCCCTGAGGACGTGGGGGTCTTCTCTTGCATCATCACCACGGCCATAGGCTCCGGGTCGGAGTCTGGTGGGCAGGCCTGAGTCCAGGTCTAGAGCAGGCTCTGGGAGATCGTGACAGTGAAAGAGTGGAGGAAGGGTGGGTATGTGAGCCGGGAAGGGAGGAGGACTGGCCCTCATGGGGAGTGACCAGCGGCCACGTACTGCGCCAAGCATCTTAGATGTGGTGTGTGTTGTGTTGGTCATGCTACATTATGCCCTACTGCATGCTGTTTTGTTTTGCTATGTGGTGTCATGTCCTATTGTTATATTCTCATTTAGGCTACATTCTAAGCATGTTGTTATGTTCTATCGTGTTGTGTTACAGTATGCTGTATTGTTATATTTTTCTGTTTATTATGTTAGATTATGTTCCATTTATGTTCCATTGTGTTATGTTCTTGCGGTAATCCTATGAGGTAGGTATCATTAGCTCCATTTTACAGGTCTGGAAACTGAGGCTCAGAGAGGGTAGCATCTTCTACACTCATTCATTCATTCGCTGAATATCAATTTACTGAGCACCCACAACCTCTTCTCTTTTTAAATTATTTATTTTATTTATTTCTTTTCTTTCTTTTTTTTCCCCTCTGGCTGTGTTGGGTCTTCGTTATGGAAGCGCAGGCTTCTCTTTTTGGTGTGCGGGCTCCGGGCAGGCTCCAGAGCGCGTACGCGGGCTCTGTAGTTTTTGCGGTACGTGGACTCTCTCATTGAGGCGTGCAAGCTCAGTAGTTGTGTTACGCAGGCTTCGTTGCCCCGCCACGTGTGGGATCTTAGTTCCCTGACCAGGGATCGAATCTGGGTCCCCTGAGTTGGAAGGCAGATTCTTTACCACTGGACCACCAGGGAAGTCCCACACAACCTCTTCTTCGACCCCTCTCACCCTTGCTCTGGGCTTCAGGTCTTCAGGGTCTGGAACCTTCTATTCCCACATTTTCACACTCCTGACACCTTGTCATGCGGGGCTCAGCTGCAATGTCACTTCTTTACATTTGTGAGAAGCTGGTATGTGTGTGTAGGTTGTGCAGACTGTTATTCTATGAGGATGGTGTGTGTTAAAGCCCACGCATAATGCCTCCTTGAATGCATGCATACGGATGTCCTCAGCAGCCGTTCACCTCTGCAGACGTGTCCCCGTCCGCCTAATGTAAGATAATACCCAGAGAATATCCGTCTCCTTGTCTTCATGGCGCTCACCAACCCTCTGAGAGTGTCTTGGTCGGTTATTTGTTTTCACGTTTACTGATTTTTTCCTCCGCTCTTCTGTAAGCTTCCCAAGGACAAGCACCTCTTCCGTCCTGTGCCTGCTCACAGAGGCTGACGGGTTGAGGTCCCCCACTGGAGAGGCGGTGGACGCAGGTGGGGCCGCTATCTGTCTGACTGCAAAGCTCCGGCTCTGCCCACGAGCATCCCTCTCCTCCCTTTGGCGGGACAAGCTCCCAAAGTATGCCAAGACCGAAGGCCCATGAACGGAGTTCATTCCAGGAGAGTGTTCATCTCTCCTCCCCTCTCTGGCTAAGACAGCTGTGCGGTGCCAAGAGCTGCAGGAGCCTCTCTGGGCTTGGGGAGACCAGGGGCTGCACCAACCTACTGGTGATCACTTTCTCGCCCATGTTTTCTCCCCTCTCTCCAGCCACAGTCCAAGGCAAGGAAGCCACGCTCCAAGAGCAAAAGCAAGACAGACCTTTTGAAGAAGTGCACTGAAGATAAAATTCAGCTCTTTGAGGAACAGGCCCCCGAAGACCTGGTTGAAAAGGTCAGTGTTCGATCTGTCACTCCTCATAGCACACGGCAGGGCTGGCAGCCGCCCAGTTTAAGGGCACACAGAGCCCTTGGGGGCTGTGACTGTCCATCTCCACCCAGCACCTGTTTTTTTCTTTTTCCATCTTTATTGGAGTATAATTGCTTTACAATGGTGTGTTAGTTTCTGCTGTATAACAAAGTGAATCAGCTATATATATACATATATCCCCATATCTCCTCCCTCTTGTGTCTCCCTCCCACCCTCCCTATCCCACCCCTCTAGGTGGTCACAGAGCATGGAGCTGAGCTCCCTGTGCTCTGCGGCTGCTTCCCACTAGCTATCTGTTTTGCATTTGGTAGTGTATGTATGTCCATGCCACTCTCTCACTTCGCCCCAGCTTACCCTTCCCCCTCCCCGCAGCACCTGGTTTTTACCTTGTGTTCCTGCAGGTGGGACCCACCCCACCCCCACCCCCGCCCCTTTTCACCTGGTCCTTCTGCCTGGAACCCTCTTCCTCCACTTCTCCCCCAGGAGGTCTCTCTCTGGTCCATTCTTCTGGCCTCATCTCTGGTGCCGCCTCCGTGGCCTGTGGTTGCCACCATCCTTGTGCCTGGCTCTGTGCTGAGGGGTTCACTTGTGCTGCTTCACTTCTATCTCTGCATTTATCTTGCCACCCTCCTCTGTGCGCCGCAAGCAGCCCAGCCTCCCTCACCAGCCCCCTTTTGTTACACTTCTGTTTCTGCGTGTACTGCGTATGACCACGTGCTGCTTACCCGTGTCCTTCCCTCTTCTTGGATTTACCTTTCCACCTCTTTTTATCTGAACAAGTGGACTTTGTCCTCAGCTGTCCTAAGGCACAACCTCTGTCCTCAGGTACCCCCTCTTCCAAGAAGCCTTCCCGGAACACCCAGTTCTCCCACTTACCCCTCCCCCTGCCAACTTCCTTTCCCGTCCTAGCATATCTCACGCTGTTCCTTCATTCCTCTGGGATGCTGAGGAGGCAGCAATGTCCCAGGCATCGTGTTCACGACCGCTGGGGTGGTCCCAGCTCTCAGAAGTGCACATTTTAGACAAAGAGCACTTAAAATGATAGATCATGATCAGTGCCGGTAAAGAAATGAACAAGATGGTATGATAGTGACGGGGTGGGGGGACGGCGAGGGGGAAGTGGCATCCACTGTAGGCGGGAGAGTCAGGTGAGGTGTCTCTGAGGAGGTGACATTTAAGAGTCGACACCGTGTTGTCACTGCCGGGGGCCGCTGCCTTCCCCAGCAAAGGGCAGACTCCCAGAGGACTGTCAGTGTGTGGATGTACAGACCATATTCTAGATCTGCTCGTCTTGTTCCTACCTTCTGTCCCTCGGGTCCTTTACCTAGTTATTTTAATTTTTTTTTTTTTAATGTAAGTGTATTTCTCAGAACACAAATGCGTAATCCAGCAGAGAGCCATAGAACCTGCTCCAGGCAAGGTCATGGCTCCTTCCAGGTGTGTACAGGTTGTTGATGTCTTAAGGGACACAGAAGTAGCACCCTATTCCCACTTGTGTTCTATATAAAATTGAGACACAAGACAAAGACTAAGGCACGTACAGGTGGAAATATCATCTGTCTTACAGTTAAAGGCTAATTCAGAAGATAGAAATTAGTAGGAGAGTCAGATGGGCTTGCTAAACATCTCAGAATTAGACAGACTCAGTCACACGATCACAGGTGTCCCTGGGGGCGTCCTGGCAGCAGCCTACCTGGAGGAGCAGAAGTGGGGCTCCCAGAGCAGAGCTGAGCCAAGCTGCCCAGTGGGGTGGATTCCCAGTTCACCCAGGAGGGGACGAGGAGAGGGTGGAGTGAGGCAGGGACTACATGGAGGAACTAGCTGCATGGGGGGTGGGGCAGGGCATTTCCTCCAGCGCACGCTGGTTTGTGACCCATTGTCACACTTAAGGTAGATATTGTCAGAGAAGGAAAAGTGAGGATTTGGTTTGGTGGAAGGAATGCATGGCCTGAGCCGTGGCCAAGGACACAATGCAGGTTCAGGGGAGCCCAGAGAGTCTGCAGCCCCGTGAAAAGGCTGCTTTGCTGGGGTGCTGGGTCTCCCGAGGGGATGGGGGAACAGACCTGGGGTGGAGGGTCTCAAGTGCCTGTCTGGGAAGATGGGCTGAGTCTCACCAGCGCTGTAGAAGGAGGAGAGGGACAGGATGAAGGAGGGGTTGAGAAGGTCCCGAGGTTTCCTGAGCCGAACTCAGCAGCCCACCCACCGTGAGTTCACCTGACCGCACATGCTTCCCCCATTCTAACCTGTCTCTTTCATTCCATTACGTGCTTTACCCCTCCCGACTTCCTTAAGAAGTAGGAACGGTCCATATTCCTATTTTACAGATGTGGAAACTGAGTCTCCACAGTGAGTTCATCCAGGTTTCTGCAGCCAGGCGGTGGTGGATCCAGCACTTCAAACTAAAGCTCTATCTCTTCTTCATCTTTGACAGGGAATATTCTCATGGAACATGGTTATTTCCCATGGTTGTGTAATGTTAGATGAACGTGCCTTGGCTCCCACATCCGTAAAATCAGGATTGAGACAATGATAACCCACTAGTCACCGGATTTGTGAGGAACAAATAGATTGGAAGGTGCTTTTTAACTTTGGAGTGGGCTCCAGTGCCCATTTCCCCAATAATGGAGCAGCTCATAGGCTACCTAATTCCGGCCTCATGGAGAAAGGCAGCCAAGAGTCATTTGCCAGCTGTGACCTTTTCATGACAGGCCATCTTCACAAATGGCTATCTCACTGTGGCAAGTGCCAATACAATAGGCACTCCCCAGTCAGCGGCTTTGATGTTCCTCCTGAAGTCGGTCGACTGCATCTCTTAGCATCCGAGTGGCAATTGTTCAGATTTTTTATTTGCAGGGTAATTGCACAGAAATGACAGCCCTTGGGGGGATGCCAGCAGCTGAGAGTTGTTTGATTGTGCTTCAGGACTGGGAACCCCTTCCAAGCTCATGTAGCTATCAAGATGGAGCAGGGACCTAATGGCCACTGTCCCAAGACCCACTGTTAAGCCCCTGCCTGGCTGGCAGCATGCTGTCCCCAAAGGGACTGTGGCTTCGCAGCTGGGGTTTGCAGAGCATGCTGGAAGCACCTGCCAGGTGCCCCCTTTCTTTACTAGAATCTGCAACCCTCAGCCCCAGGTTGATATGTCCCTGGTCTGGACTCTGCCATCCGGAGAGGTCGGCAGAATTGCCCAAGGTCACGCCATCAGTGAGTGGTTGAGCTGGGGCTCCCACAAGGCACGTCTGCTTCCATCACCCATGCCCTTTCCATCATGGTGCTGGGTCCGCAGTGACAGCGAGAAGGCTTCAGCCTCCCAGCAGGGCTGTTTGTCCTCTTCCCCACGTCCCCTCCCTTTCTTCCACCTCTTTCCTTTTCCTTGCCGTGCTCAGCTTTCCCCTTTCCCTCATTCTCCTTCACTTCCTCCTTTAGAACATTTTGTAGCCTGTTCTCTGGGCCGGGCACTCTTGCAGGATCCTGCACTTGAGATGTTCACGGTTTCAGATGAGCAGCAAGTTTGTACATTGACGGTTCACAGGTTTGCCTCCTGCTTTCACATAGAAGCCACCTGACTATGCTGAGCTCCGCCTTGAATGAGTGGTACGTGACTCATTCAGAAAGACTTGTACGACTGATTCAGGGAGGAAAAGAGAGACAGGCAGAGGGATGAAAGTGGACTTCCTGCCTGCCCACCTTTTCTGTCCAGCTGATGGGTTACCAGCTCCGGTCAGAGGCAGCCATCCTGAGTGGCTGTTGTGCACCTGTGACACTCCACAGACATCCCAGTCCTTCTGATAGGCTCCTTACAAATGCACAGATGCATGATTTTCAACCTGGAGGACTCTGGAGGGCAGGTACATTTGAGAATAAGTTAATCAAGTTCCAAGATAAATTTCTGTTGGATTGAACTGAAATTACAGGTTAATTTGAGAATTGTCTTCCCCTCCAAAGAGGTGGAATGTTTCTTATTTTATGTGGATCTTCTTTTAAGATCTTTAATAGATTTTATATTCGCTTCCATTAAGTAGGGTGAACGTCCACCTCGATATGCTTGGGACAGTCCCAGTCTCCCCTGTCATCCCCACGTCCCTTCCTGTTAGCTCTTCCTTTTACTCTCAACTTGGGCGAGAAATCATAGGGTCACCTTATGGGTAAGGTATACGTATACATAAGGTCTTGTGTATTCTTTTTGATGATTCCCAGATACATGATAGGTTTAGTTGCAATTGTGAGTTATTACCTATTTTCAGTTATGTTTTGGGCTTATTTGATACTGATGTAAAGAAATGTTACGAATTTTTATAAGTCTTTCCAGACTCCCTTATTCTATCTCTGGAGCCAGACTGCTGGGTCCAAAGTCCCTATCTCTGTCACTTATAGCCCTGTGACCTTGAGCAAGTCACTTAACCACTCTATGCCCTAGCGTACTCATCTTTCAAGTGTGCGTGATAGGTACACCTACCTCTTAAGATTCTTGTGAGAATGTGTCTGTTGATTTTTTGCATTTGGTCGTAATGTCTGCAAATAATCACAGCTTCATAGCCTCCTTTCTGATTCTTACGCCTCATTTCTTTTTCTTAGCAGTGTGTCAATGTCCTTGTCTGCTTATTCCATCATCTCTCTCATTTCCATTGGCTGATTTTTCCCTGGATTATGGATAATTTCCTTCTTCTTTGCATGCATGGTAATTTTTGATTGGATGGTAGGCATTGTAGATTTTACATGTTGGGTACTGGATTTTGTATTTTCTTTAATAGTGGAGTTTTGACATGTAGGTATGTTCTTTTGGATTAATTTTATCCTTTCAAGACTTGCTTTTTTTTAAAACATCTTTATTGGGGTATAATTGCTTTACAATGGTGTGTTAGTTTCTGCTTTATAACAAAGTGAATCAGTTATACATACACATATGTTCCCATATCTCTTCCCTCTTGCGTCTCCCTCCCTCCCACCCTCCCTATCCCACCCCT